CCCTTTCTTGGGCAGTGGATTCCTCATGGTTATGTTTCAAAGGAACTGAGAAGTGCAGCAAGGTCTTAAAGTAAAAAGGAATTGGGGGGGGGGTACACCCACAGGGCACATCGGCATATTACATGCTTATTTCTTTAAAAAGTGAAATAGAAGAAATAGTACCCTTGTTCTTTTCCTTCTCATTTCTACATTGAAATTAATTCTTCTGTATTTGTTTTCTGGAGAATAGTTTTTGAATATTCTCTATACCCTTTCTGTGAAAATGTCAGCCCAGTATTCATTTCTAGTAGATGTGCTTCCAGCAAAACTTATTCTGAATATCTCTAGTGTGCAGTCATCTGAGATTTTCCCATTTGTTCCAAGGTACTTGAAGGGCTGATTTGGTTTTGAAATTTACAGCTAACATTCACTGAACTTGGACATCATCTTTTAGTGTTTACCTTACATCTTTCACAACATAATGATCTCTCAGCTTCATTTAACTTGATTCATACCAAACAAGTAAGCTTAGGCAGTGGGGGTGGCTGGAAGAAAATGAAAAGCTTGCTGCTTAGTGTTTTTGGTATTCTGCCATGGTTTTTTTGCACCACTTCAATTGACCCTTTGGTGGTATTATACTGAGCACTTTTTCAAACGCTCGTTTAGAATACCTGCCTAAGAAAAACATGGGTCAGATGGGAATGAAGCACACAACTGAATTGCTGCTTAACATGACAGTTCATCAGTGGGCCAAGTGCTATCAGTTTTTTTGTTTACATCTTTGGTAATTTGATGCACATGGAACTGGCTGTTTGCCAGGTTCTTTTGTTTTGCTTTGTTTTGTTTCCAGAGGTATTTAAAAAAGAAATTTTACTATAAGAAAACTGAAGCCCGGACTGTTGAGATATTTTATTACACTCACTGTTGTTTTTGTTTCATTTTATTAGATTATATAGTTGTCAAAATAAAACAAAGAGCTACAAAAGAATTTTGACGCTTTGGAAAGTGAACGTATTGAATGTATTTAATTCCATATGTATTCTTCCGGAGCTGGTTTTGTAGGATGATCGACAGCACAGAGACTTTGCATATTAAAGTAAGGGAGTAAGAGCTATACCTACTCAACAAATAGATTGGAGGAGAGAGATCTCTATTGGCTGATTCTGGCAGAATTTTTCCAGGAAGTTCGAGAAGGTAGAATGTAACACGTAAGACATCTTTAATATGAGGTATACATATTTTGTATTAATATAATTAATAATGATATGACTTTTTCCTACTTTGGGGGCTATGAAAAATGAAATACTACCATTCGCAGCAACATGGATGGACTTAGAGAAAATTATATTAAGTGAAATAAGCCAGGCACAGAAAGAGAAATACCGCATATTCTCACTTATTTATGGGAGCTAATAAAAATAAATAAATAAATATACAAACAAACAAACGGAGAGGACACAACAATTCCTTGAACTTGTTAGGACAAGTGAACGGATACGATGTTGATGGGAAGGAGGGGGGAAGAAGTCTTTCCTTTTTTTCTTTTAAATGTCCAGAAATAAATCTGAAACTTGAAATGATTTAGCTTTCAAGATTCATGTGGATCACATTTTATTCAAAAGGCTTTGTTTTTTGTTCTTTATTAACCACAAGAAGATAATAATTCATATTAGCAATAGATTGACCTTTGTGTACCTAACGTAAGATGAAATGGACATTATTTGCTAAACTACATTTATTTATTTTTAAAAATATCTCAATTGATGTAGTGATTTGATTCTTAGTTCCTTTGTTATGAGGTACTACCCACAGAAAAATGGTTTTATAAATCATTGTTGATACCATGAATTCATATTGTTGAAGCATTTATTATGTCAGCAGTTTTATCAAATATGGTCTGTTGACGTCTGAATTTCAAAGATATTTGTATTTATTTTTGCTGTATAAGATGTTTTGAAGTAGAACAGAGGTAGAAATAAAAAGTTCAGGTGAAGTGGGAGTGTGTAACTTTATTTTGGATGGGGCGATTGGCCATTGAAAAGAACCACTTTAAGCTTCAAATCTTTTCTTGCACTGGGTTATACAGAAAAGCAAATAAAATAAATTGTAATCTACATCTGAAAATGAGTGTGAACTAATCATTGTGTTACTTCAAATAAACAGATGCAAATGCATGAGTTTTCATTGCAATCACAAATTAAACCAACTCTAGAAGAAATCCTATATAGGATAAGGAAAGCTTAGAAAATAAAGAGAAACAATTATGTCAGTCTTATCCAGCTTTACACATTAATAGAACTTGTCTATAATTGTTCATTTAGAAGGACCTCCTTCCCGTACTCTACCTTTCAAAAATACCTCCCCATTCCATGAGATATTTCTGAAGAGCCTACTATTATAATCAGTTGCTGGGAGGATATTTCCTCTTTGAGAAGGCACATACCCCTCCTCAAGGTAGCATACTCTACCTTTCAAAAATACCTCCCCATTCCATGAGATATTTCTGAAGAGCCTACTATTATGATCAGTTGCTGGGAGGATATTTCCTCTTTGAGAAGGCACATACCCCTCCTCAAGGTAGCGTTGGCTCTGATCCATGATGCATATGTTCATATTGAAACTTTATCATCTCTGTGTCCTCTGTGACAGCTCAATGGGATCAATGCTATAGGAAAGTGGGAGAAAGAAGAGGGTTGTGTGCTACTGTGTGTTGGGTGTCTGTGGGCCAGTTGGGGGAGTGAGAAGTTAGCAGTGGGGTGGGGGAGGACGAAAGACTGGCCTCTTTGTCGTGGCTCCTAAGGCTGCCTCCCGCAAATAGGGTTAAACTTGAAAATCAGACCTTGCTACTTTGATCACCTGTCCGTGCATTTGAAATGTACTGGGAGCTCTTTCTTGAAGAAAATATTTTCTGAGTGAGAACTTGTATATATGGCTGTGCTTCCAGTTTACAGATTTTTCTGTTGATTTAAACACAAGAATTCCATAAAATACAATGATTATAGTTATGAGTGGTTTAAAAATCTCGTGGCTTTTTAAAATAAAAAACAAAGAAAAGCTATTGTTAATTGTGCATACATACGGAGTTCTTATTTAAAATGGAGTGCAAGTTCATATTTGTAAATTTAGCTTATGAATGTAAATTCAATGACATAAGGCAGTAATTACCCATGATTTTTGCAATCTAATCTATTAAAAAATTTCTAAAACGTTTGTCTGTAAATAAGTTATTTATAAAATGTGGGATGTTTTATAATGAAATGAGAGTAATTAAGGTAAAACCAATTTTATTCAACCTTTAAAAATTACTTATTACTGTAATACATTGATGCATTTGACAGATTTTTATTGACTGCCTACTATGTATTGGTCGGTAGCATAGGTGCTGGGGATTGCTGCGAATGAAGTGGATCACAAGGAGCTGCCTTGTTATGATGCCAGCCACAGCCCAGATTAATGACAAGGAGAAAGAGGATTTATAGTTCTATTTTAAAGAGTATTTTCTCACATGTTCTGATAATTAATTTTTTTTACTTAGCATAATTATCTAGTGAATTTTTTCTTCATTTACATAAAAGGAGAATCTTTTAGATGAAGATGCATGTATATTTATATTAATTTGTTAGATAAAATTAATTTTTCAAAAACCATTTATCAAAAGGCTACTATCTGCTGGAAACTGTTTTAAGTATAATGGCAGTTAGAAAAGTTGATCAGAAACAGATCAGGACCTCAATATAGTGTTGATTATTTGGAAAAATAACAATGTCAGAAGAATGAAAGAGAAGCAGTTGTGAAATAGACTTGTGCCAGTCTCAGTTAAACAGAATGAAACAATGGGGTGTGTCTGTGTGAAGCCGGGCAGTACTATTGCCCTTCTATATACGTGTTGAAAATTTAATATTTTCAATTTTATATTTCTTCCAAAAGATTAAAACTTATATCTGTTTTAGTACCTTATCTCTCCAGCTCAGAATATGGAAGTAGTCTCTGGTAAGAGTTCCTTGAACTCCAGGGAAATAAAATGTAATCATATTTGAGATGATTATATAGCTGAGATTTTCTCTACTTCCTCGCTTCTGTCTTATTTAGAGGGTTCCTAAATAATGTAACTAGAAATGGCAGTAGGGAAATAAATTACAAATGCATTAAAATATCCCTGTAGAATAAGGAATGGATAGTATCTGAAAGGATACACTGATTTATAAAATAAATATTACATTAATATAACATTTAAAAGATGAGAAAAAAAAAACAAGGACTTTAAAGGAAGAGAAATCCATCAGATGTTTTAGTAGATACCCAATATTTTGATTAAGACTATACAAAAGCCTAGAGTAATGGGAACACAAACAATGATAGGTCCTTCTCATCTTTGAGAGAGAGGTAAGTTGTCTCATTTCTGTTTTATCAGTGTAAAAAAAAAAAAGTCAAGATCACTTAGGTTTTCCACCTAATCAGTTATTAGCTGAAGTGACAGGGGTCCAGGCTTGCTGACAGGTACTCTGCCAGTAGTTACCACTGTGGTTTATGGAACCACTGGAATTAGGTGGGGCCATAGAAAGACTATCATAGGTATTTTATGAAAGAGCCAGCGATATATTTCTTTGTCTTTGCTTTGTAGTTACCAGCTGACAAGTGGATANAAAAAAAAACAAGGACTTTAAAGGAAGAGAAATCCATCAGATGTTTTAGTAGATACCCAATATTTTGATTTAGACTATACAAAAGCCTAGAGTAATGGGAACACAAACAATGATAGGTCCTTCTCATCTTTGAGAGAGAGGTAAGTTGTCTCATTTCTGTTTTATCAGTGTAAAAAAAAAAAAGTCAAGATCACTTAGGTTTTCCACCTAATCAGTTATTAGCTGAAGTGACAGGGGTCCAGGCTTGCTGACAGGTACTCTGCCAGTAGTTACCACTGTGGTTTATGGAACCACTGGAATTAGGTGGGGCCATAGAAAGACTATCATAGGTATTTTATGAAAGAGCCAGCGATATATTTCTTTGTCTTTGCTTTGTAGTTACCAGCTGACAAGTGGATACAAGCCTGCACCAATGGACCTGAGCTTTATAAAACTCACCCCGTCTCAAGAAGCAATGGTGGACAAGTTGGCAGAAAATGCTCACAACGTGTGGGCTCGGGATCGAATCCGGCAGGGCTGGACTTATGGCATCCAGCAGGTGCATGGAAATTTATTCCACAGCACACGGTCTCAGATTGACTTAAATGGGAATTAGCATAATTTATAAAAGGAGAGATTAAATAATGACTGTTTAAAACTCATGTCATGTAGATATTTTAGTGAACTGTCACATGTATACTAAAGTACCTTTTTAGTGTTGGACTCCAGAAATTAGATGACCTTAGCTCTGGGTGTTATCGTGAAAGATGCATATTAGGTTCACAGTGAATATTACTACAATGGTGATTTATGACATGATTTATTGGCATTTCTCTCTCTCCGATTATAATCTAGGAGAAACCTTTTGAAATATGTAACGATTGAGATAGAATAATAAAACAGTTCCACAATTTTTTATTCACAACCCTTGGGGCAAGGTGAATTTCAGAATTAGAGTTTTTTGTGCTTTTCAGAATGGTCATATGAAGATATGCTACATGTTACATAACAACCTTGGTAAGGCAGCAAACTGTAAATTTCTATTAATTTAGCACAATGTAGGCATGACAATACCAAGAGGGATAAATAAAGACTATAAACAGCCTCACATCAGTTGAGATCAAGTTTTACCACCAAGTTTTTGTTGCAGATGATTTTAACTGCAGGTGTTGGTAGGTGTTCAGGTAATCAGGATTAGGTATTCAGTACAAATTTGCTGGAGGGAGGAAAGAAAGAAGAGACAACAGTCTTCTTCCTTCTGTCTACCCGAGCAACCCTGTCCACCTCCATAGTTGTTTTGTTTTGTTTTGTTTATGTATTTATTCATTTTTGAGAAGGTGTGGGGACATCCACAGCTTCTCAATTCCTCTTTATGCCAAAGTCCATTAAGAATTGATGATGCTTCTTGAAATATGGAGACTTTGGCAAATACTATAGTAGAGTCTCAGTGAGCAAGTGGAAAGAAGTAATTTCCTAAGTGGCAATGCACTAAGTGCTTTTAGGAGTTAACGCAAATGCCTTCCCTGAAAGTAGATTTTGCACCCACTCTAAAATTAGGCCTCCTTCTGCCAAAATAGCAAAATAGCATGTCCTCACACTTTGCCGGCAACATTTTAACTACATTTTAAATTTGGAGACTTTTATATGATAGAAAAATTATGCGTTTGGTAGTCATTTCAGTACTCCTGGTATTGCCTGGTTTCATTGGTTGATGGAGTCAACC